CTCCTACTGGGCAAGGATAGCACATGGAAAGTATCTGATTCTGACAAAGATAGCTTGACAAAATGAACTGGATCTACACAAACAAGGACAGAAATCATTTGTAACTTTTATAAAACACATGTTAGAAACACTTAAATGTAACAAACTCTGGGTAGCTAATAATCTAAATTCTAAAAACATAAAAAGAATTATTCAAAATAAACTTAAAGATACATATAATAATGAATGGATGAAGTAACTCAATAAAGACAACAATCAAAATGTTGGCAACAATTTAAAGACGTACTTACTGGTAAAAAAAATTACAAATTTCAAAATTATCTAAAAGTAATTTTGAATTATAAAATAAGATCAGCAATTACAAAATTAGGAATTTCAAGCTTATAACTTGCCAATTGAGAAAGGGCGATACAATAATATCCATCAAAATCAAAGAATATGCCCTATATAATGAACTGTTCAAACTCAGATATTAAATCAAATAGAGAATTTTTTTTCACAACATTAGCTTTCCAGAATTTGAAAAACTAAATCAAGAATGTAAATTCATTTATTTGTTAAGTGCTTTGGATACTCATCTTATGATACCTTTTGTCAAATATGTTAATTCTATTTTAAATGTAGTTAGTAGTTGTATTTAGTGGCCATACTGCCGTATTGTACTATATCGATGTTGTGTCAATAAATTATTATTATTATAATGCTCACCAGGTGATATTTTGGTCATGTATTTGTGTATATGTTGTTTTCAGAAATGGCAACACATGAAGACACAATCTGATAGAGAAATAGCATCCCTGAAAAGGACAGTTGGGGACCTGCAGAAGAAATTGGATACTCAAGCCACTGCTAGCAAAAGACGAAAATTCTAGTATTATGCAGTATGTTCCTTATATATTAATTATTGTTTTATTAGTGTAGAGTAGTAGAGAGTTTGCAATGGTTTGTAGTTTATATCATTAATAATAACCACAGATAGTACTCTTAAAATCTCTATTAGAAACCGCAGCTTCTATTAAAATGGAACAATGCAATGGAGGGGATGCAGCTTCTATTAGAGTACCTACACATATGAGAAATGATGAATTTTTGGGTCTGCAACTGTCCCACACTTGTGATAGATATTTTATTTTGCCCAGCGTGAGTAACCAGTTTATTAACCTTTTCACCACCAGTTCCCTCTTTAATCACAAATTCGCAAAATAGTTTATAGTCTGCACCTTCCTAAGATTGGGAAAAAATAACCAAATTTTACGAGTAAAAACTGAAATATTCCAGAAATATTAAAAAAAAATATTAGAAAAAGTAAAGAAAAAATTAGAGTGAGAAAGTCTTACGGTGAAAAGGTTCAAAAATTATTATTTGATATGACACTGCATCTATAGAATGACTGCACAGATTTTATTCAGCTAGCAAATGCCTAATATGCAATATTTATGAAAGGTTAAAGAATAATGTTACAGTACTGCTTGTGTCTGTCTATGTCTATCATGAAGCAAAATACAACTTGTTTGACAGATCACTACTATTATTGTACTCTTTACGTATGCCATATTTGTATCAGCATATAGTTAACATGAATTGAAAGAAATCAGTCATTGTGTTTTTCAGCCTGCAGTCTATTTGCTAACATTTAAGCATTCATTGTTTATTATTGATCGTATTTTAGCTGAATGTACAATCACTACTATTGCCTAATAAGGTTTTTCATAATTTTATCTTATTATAACAAATATTTATTGAAGTGATGACATTTATATGTTATTTATTGAAACATGTATTTATTCAAATGCTCATGTGTCCAGATGTGTGATTTGTTAAGTGCTGTTTGTGTATATTGCGACATACTTTATCATATTCATGTTGAATTTCCTCAATCAGAATTTCAAATATGAATGTATATTTAGCTCAATTTGCTATTTCTCTGTAAAACCTAGGCCTAATCATATTGATATTTTTTGGAAATTATTCACCTTTTTCAAAAATGTGGTTATTACAGAAACTGTAAGAACTTTTGAATA